TTCAATATATATTATATGTGAACGTGTCGCGTAAATGTGAATTCTATGGAAACACGACAAAAGCGATTCTCTCTTATTGCTTTTATTTGTGCACTAAATTGTGTAAATTTAAAACATAAATAATTTTATTTTAAATAATTTAAAATTAATGTTTTTGTCGTTATTTTTGTTTCTTTTTTTTTTTTAGATATTAAACATGGAGGACGATTCAAATTGGTATCGTGCCGAATTAGATGGCAAAGAAGGATTAATACCCAGTAATTATATAGAAATGAAAAATCATGAGTAAGCACTTGTTTTGTTTCTTTCTCGATATTTCCCTAAGACAAAATTAATATTTTTTTTTAAAAAACAAAAAAAACTTTTTTTTTGTAGTTGGTACTATGGCCGTATAACCCGTGCTGATGCTGAAAAATTATTGTCAAATAAACATGAAGGCGCTTTTTTAATACGTATTAGTGAATCAAGTCCTGGGGATTTTTCGTTATCAGTAAAGTAAGTAGTTCAGATTTTGGCATCCGCTGGTGAACGATATCCAATTTTTAATATCCACAAGTAATTTTACAGCCTCCCTTTAGTATATATACCCAGATATTTTATCATTTGAAAGACGCACTTGAAAGTGATATACGCTCAAGGATGTATTAAACTTGTGCGTATGTATGCAGAATTTGAGATTATCCAACTTCTAGTGTACCAATCGATTCAGAGTTACTTTCTGCGAATGTCAGTCCGTCTTGTCTTCAACTTACGGATCGTAATTTTCGAGATATTTTGATGAAATTTGATGCACCAACATGTTTCGGCCCAAGGATGAAAGCTAGTGACAATAGTTCGGATCGAGCCATTTTTTCGGTCATTTCAAATATAGGAACTTTTTTTTTTAAAAGTCGTTATATGAATAACTGCATTAAGCAAAGTGGTCTAAAGCATTTAATGATGGGTCGTGTCCCCGTGTCATGTTTTTATAAATCGAAAGTTATAAACTAATTATCACGCATAAATCGCTTTGGGATTTAAAAAAACAAAAAGGAGAGAGGAGAAGTGTCGAGCCAATGAGAATGTTGCAGAAGTCCGCGTGTATCTAAAACGTAGTTTTATAATCACATTTCGCTACACATCACAAAAACTCCCAAGATTTGTGATTCACGAACGGCACGGTGTGTACATGTTCTTTAACATATTGCGAACAGATCAAAGCCTGTCCGATTTCTTTCCATGAAAAGGTTATGATACCACACAACCCTTTACAACTCGTAAAAAGCCTTGAGCTTGACTCATCTATTTTTGGACTATTCCTTGCAGAAAGATTTACTGGATCTACTTAAGCTATCTGTCTAATCTTTATCCATGTATTTCTGTATTCACTCAGCAACGAATGGCAATTTTCTCCATAATAGTAGTTAGTACAATGACATGCCTGGTTTTAATTGAATGAACGACATTGAAAATGTATTTTAACGGACAAACGCTTCTCCGATATCAAGTTCCGTTTTGAATAATCCTTAGATGAAAAATATTTTCTATATATTTAAAATCCTTTGCAAAAGTTGCTGATAAATAGTATTTGGCAAAGTTGACAAACATGAAAAATTTAAACATAGAAATGAAGTTTTTAACTGACAACAAGATCTAAAGTTTATTTGTTTACGCTAAAGATTGGTTCAACACATTCTGCTATGATAAGCTTGGCTTAAATAGATCTGGCTTCTCATAAAAAGCGGGCAACCGGCTAAAATTCTTACTATACCCATGTAGACAGAAAAATAAATGTTTGTCGGTGGGAGGAGGTATTCTTTTCCAATTTCCTCCATCTATTGATTACATTTATTATTTATTTATTTCAAAAACGGTTTTAGAATTATGCTAAATATAAACAGAAGCTTGCAGAAAGTTTACTTCGAAAATATCGCAAGCTTCCCGGTTGACAGTAAACAGTGACTGACAGTGGGTGTATATACAAAAACTTAAAAATAACGCAAAATATAGAACTTGAAAGTATTGTATTTTTTGGACTATAGGACGCATTTCAAATATATGACATGATTTTTACAAAAATATATTTTAATATTACTTTCGGATTAACTCCTCGGTTATCTTATCTCGTACTAGCAGTACTCAGTTCATCTTCACACTTGGTACTATCACTCGTCTCGTTAAAGTCATCGTCCGTATTATTTTCATCTGAACCCTTAGAGACAAATTATTGAAAAAAAATTCTTTAATGTTACCTTTGGACCATATGACGCTTTACTCTTCTTCAATTGTGCTTAACAGGATTGAGATCGGGAGAGCGACTCAAACCATTCAATGATATCGAAGATATAATCCAAGAAACGCACTTTCACCAAATTGGATGAATGTCTCGGATCATTACTCTGCTGAAGTAACCACAGCAGTGTATTATTTTCTTCGACATAGGGTAGCGTTGCTGTGGAGGCGAGAATTCTCGCAAGCATGTGAAAAAGATACTCTGTAGCCGGCGTACAGTAGGGCGGTACGAAATTCGTAACATGCTTAACAATTTTAAGGAGCCATATTCAGATCGGTAATTTATATAGCAAGCTTTATATATATTTGCCGTAAACTTTTCTCTCCACATATGTAGCTTGTTTTATTGTCCGATTATAACATTTACACCTTTTTTATGCTGATCTCGCACAGCCTCTGAATGAAGTAAGTTGCTTTAAGAATGACCGACACTCTTCTATCGTCCATTTCCCATTCGACTTATTCGAAAATGCTGAAATTCCAAATATTATTCAAATCTTCCAAGAGCATCAATATTAATTCTTTAGTACTTTGCAACTCTCTCTGGAATGAGATGTCAATTAACAACCTATCCATTAATGCTTGTACTTGGTACAAAAAAAAAATGTTCATGCTTTAGTTGTCTTCAGTGGAAACAGTGGTTGACGAAAAGTCGCTTAATGGCGAATTTAGTTTTTCTTGTTGTGTTTAACTATAGCGTTATTGTTTTTTTTCAGATGCCCCGATGGTGTTCAACATTTTAAGGTATTACGTGACGCACAAGGTAAATTTTTCCTTTGGGTGGTTAAATTTAATTCCCTTAATGAATTGGTAGAGTATCATCGAACGGCCAGCGTTTCCAGATCGCAAGATGTCAAATTAAGAGATATGATACCTGAAGAGGTAAGAAATTGTTGTTTTCTTTTTAATTTATTCTCCATTTTCACATTATTCATCTCACTACGAAGAAGTGAGTATCGACCTCTAGTTCTCATTAAAATTTAGACCCTCGTAAATAACGCAAAATTTCAATTAGTCCGGCTTTAGTCTTCCTTTTGTATATATATTTGCCAAAAAAAAAAAAATATGGCATAAGTAGATAAGATATGAAATATTAGGTGTTTGCAAAAATTTTGATCAACGGCTTCTACAGGTAAAATGATAAAGAAAAGTTAAATACCAGGCTACATAACCTTCCTCTACCTAAAGTAACAGTTTTCCCTTTAATATTATTGATTTATTCAGCGTCAACGAACCCTCGAAATTGCATTTTCTGCGTTCATTTTTGTTGTTGTTTCATTTGAATATATTTGCCGCAAAAGCCCAATAAACACGTTCATAAGCCTATAGTGGTGTTACTCCATCATATTCCAATTGTCGATTTTGTTTTCCACAGTTTAAATGTAAAAATTTTGATATCAATGACAAAAAAAAAAGCCTGGAGGACTAAAAAATTTCAAGGGCCATGAGGACCATACAAGTCTTAATGACCGAAGACACAGTTCCGACTCGAAGCACTTTCGAACAGCTTAGCGGTTGACGCTTACATGCAGTCGGAGAAGTCCAAAAGAAGGGAAAACGGCTTCCTCGCAAATTGAATGAACAATCCTAACCGCAAAAAGTCTTGGGTTAGTTCAGGAGAGTCGTCCACATATCGACGTTGAAGCGGTATATGCACGGCCATAAAGTTTTGATGTGCATACGGTGGGATTAGCGATGTTTATTGTATTACGAGCTGTTAAAACTGGATGGGACTATTACTACAGATGTCCACAGAGGTCAATTAACCAAACTGAACGATGGTGGAAAAAAGGCAAGCAATAGCCGTCAAACGTAAAGTCATTCTCCTACATGACAACGCTCGGCCACACGTCGGAGAACCTGGCAAAGATACTTTGTTACAGTTCGAATAGGAAGTTTTGCCCCATCCACCATACTGATCGGACATGGGGCCAGCTGATTGCCACTTGTTCAGAGCCGCACGGCTTTGATGGCACACGAGTCCGCAATGTTGAGAAAGTAGGAAAATGGTTTGGTGGTTGTAGAGAAAAGTGATGGAACCTATCTTGATTAATATATATTGCACCAATTTTCCACAATAAATGCCTTTTTCAGGTGAAAAAGTGATCAAAATTTTTGCGAACTCCTAATAGGATTCTAAAAATTCCCATTTCCACAAATGTAGAGATTTCCACTGAGTAGAGTGGAGAATGCTGAGTCAGATAAAACATAAAAAATGTACTTTTCGTTTCGTAGTGATCCAGTTGGTCGTTTCCAAAATAATTTTGCGAATTCAAAGTGATTTTAGCAGATTAAAACAAACTTGGAAAGAGAATTGTTGTTAGTTATGTGCCATTATTGTAAAGAAAAAGTATATGAAATGTTAAAAATGTTCAGCACTATAAGCTCTGAGATTTTACAGTTACTTGATATCGTGGTAAAAATATCTGTATATTTTTACTTTCACGTTTCTTAATAGTCATATTAGATGCTTTCTACCGACTGTCTGGAACGTGTTTGATGAAGGCAACCGCATTCGAATTGTTTACAATCCAAAATATGACTATATTTTTATAAATCAATTTGTCATTTAATAATCCCGAGAACTTTTTATATATCATTTATCTTTTATTAAACCTTGATAGGCTGTCAAAAAATGAAATAACTCAGTTATGCGATTATTTAAGACGTGAAAACTCGTAAATAATTCTATTTATTTATTTTTTTTGGAAATTTTCAGATGCTCGTACAAGCCTTGTATGATTTTGTGCCACAAGAATCCGGTGAATTAGATTTTAGACGCGGTGACGTCATAACTGTAACAGACCGTTCGGATGAGAATTGGTGGAATGGTGAGATTGGCAACCGCAAAGGCATTTTCCCATCTACTTATGTTACGCCATATCATTCATAATTTTAAATTACGCAAACGCAACAAAAACGACGACAACACGTAACAGCAGCCACAACATAAAATCATACAAATCATAAAAAAAGAATACAAACAAAAAAAAAAGAAAAAAAAAAACAAAAACGATAATAAAATAAATCCTTAAAAATAATCACAGTAGAAGATATCCTCTCTAAGCAGAATAAAAGCAAATTGAGAAAAAATGATTTTGAAAAAATTATGAAACTATTATCTACCAACAAAATACCATAACATTACATAGGATATAATATATATAAGTGTGAACGCTGAACTACACATAAAATTTATACATAAAAAAAAGAAATTTATTTAATTATTTTTATAATTGTTTTTTTTTTTATTAAACGTAAAAAAAAAAAGATGATAGTCCGCTCAAATAGAAGAAGAACAAATGCATTTCTTTACAGCATAAATTATATGAAATATAATTTTTTTTATTTTTCATAAATAATCATATAAGCGAAAGACATTATATAATTTGTATTTGATAATCAAAATATTTTTCTTCTTTTTTTTTTTTACACACAACTTAAAATTGTTAAATAAAGTTTAGAAAAAAATGTGTTGTGAGGCATACAAATTTATTACAATATCGGAAATGTTTTTTTCAAAAAAAAATCGCATTTTTTTTTTTTTTTTGTTTTGTTTATTTCGTGCTTTTATAGTTTATTTTTATTTTTAATGTAATATTGAGGACACGACGACTTTTAACACCAGCATCTTTGAAAGCTTTCCTCAAAAATTATTGCTTAAGCTTGGCTGATAAAAACTCGAAGGCTTTTTACAATATTTTAACTAAAATAAAAATTTGCCATACCTTCTATTTGTTTTAAAAAAAGCATATTTTGATAAAAAAAAAAGAAAAGAAAAACAGAACAATTAGGCCATAAATAAGTCCTATTTAAAATTACACAGGAAAATATTTTTAATGTTTTCTTTATACATTACTTACATTAAAATATGTCTAAACTTAAGATTTTTTTTTATTGATTATATATATTATTGCCCCAGAGACAGAGGCCGCAATATATTCATAAAAATATTAAACAAAAGCAAAATTTAGTTATGAGAAACTAAAAATAGCGAATGCAAATGAAGATTGTTGCTGTATTTTATGTAAAAATAGTATGTTTATGGATATATGTATACATTAAAGGAATTCCAAAATGTGCTATTATTGTAATTTTGTAATAAATTACATAACATAACATATCTGCTTTATCAGCAAATAAACGCGTAGAGATTATGAATAAAGGCAAAATTACGCACAATTAAAATTTAAATATTTCCAAATGCAAAAATATGTGACCAAAAGCAAACATTTTGAATCGAACAGAACAAGTTGATAGGACCTGAATGGAGACAGTGTCCTCTTGTTCACATAACATTTTTTGCAAATATAAGTACATATTGGATAACCATATCACTTTAGGCCATATAAGCCTTTTCTTGATTGAATTTTCTTTTTTTCAAATTTTCATGCACAATTATTCTTCTTCAAACTTCACAGACTTGCTTTGCACAACTCTTAAAAAAATACCGTTAACTGGTTTCTTTTTCGTGAGGGACAACCAAATGTCAATAATACCACGATTTTGTCATAAAGTAAAGAAGAAGAACAACTAGATTATTCATCTGAAATCATACGTCGCGGATTTTTTGTAAAACCATCTAAATTGTCTTTTAAACCATCATATTATTCATAAATAAGGCCTGACATTTTTTGTTAAAATACCTGCAAAATCTATCACAAAAAGAAGAAGAAAAAAGTAAACAAGCAAAAAAAGCATCGACCGATAGTTCTCTACAAAAATCAAAGTTCGTATATGTATATGTATATACATAAGCATATTTAGTTTCTTTAATTTTTTTAAAATGCATAAAATCACTTATATAACTCTTCATTTTAAGGAATTTTGATTCTGCTTTTCATGTCGAAACAAGGAAATCATAGGGATTTTAAAAATGTATAAAAAAAAACAATAAAATTTACACAACACTTGAAAGAAACTTAAAACACCAATTTTCTTTCCTTTTCTAAAATAAAAAAAAAATAAAAGAAAAAAAACGAAAAAATAAAAAGAAAATGATATAAAAATGCAATAAAATTTTAGTGTATTAAAAATGAAAAAAAAAATGTAATGCTTAAGTCGGCTAAAGAATCGACTATTTAATACCCTACACCCAAATACAGATTTTTATGATGCAGGGTAAAATATGATCATGCCGCCAACTATTTACACAATTTCGAACATATGTTATTCACATTTTTTTAAGAAACGTGTGTAGAATTTATTTCTTAAATATAAAATAATAAAAATATTGATATACAACAACAATTATGCACTTTTTAGTAAGAACAACATCATGGATATATATACATACGATATACATACGTAAACAATTTACTCGTGAATAAAGGTTTGTCAAAGATATTAATTGTGTTTAACAATGAAAATCATAAAGACGACGAGTTTTTAATTTTAAAATGAAAAAGGAGCAGAAAAGACAGTCTTTTTTTTAAGAAATTGCCTTCTAAATAAAACCGGTACAAAGCATAGTTTTACAGAGAACCTTTCTTACTAATATAGCTGAACAAAAATGGCTTAAGAAGAAGAAGACTAATCGAGAAATTTTTCCCATTTTTCTATTCGCTTTATTAGACGAAAAACCATTTGCTTCCTTAGTTTATAAGAAGCAAATCTAAACTAGCCAACAATTATGTAATATTATGAAAGTCAAGAAAGTGTTTGTTACGCTTAGTCTTAGGGGAAAAAAAGAATACTAAGAGATTCTAATCTAGTCTTTGCATTGGTTGGTAGCTTGGTAATATTCTTTCTAAATTTAACATTTGCTACAATATATTGCAGCCCAACTACTTTAAATTTATCAATATGCTGGCTTGAGCAACTCACTGCGTTTTTGTTCCGGCTGCAGCAATATCCACCAGCGATCGGCTAGGAAATACCTATTCTTGATTGACGGAAAAGTATTTGACGACTAAAGTTGGGAAGAAGATAAAAAACGATATTTGCATCCAAGAAGGATACGAAGGATTTGAATTGTTTTTTATATTTTCTTAAATATAATGTCTATGCTCTATTTTGACAATTCTAAATCCATTAAATTAAAAAACGCATACATCATAAATTTTACATTCATCTCAAAAATATCGTAATATTGCTTAGTTTAATTTTACTGCATAAAATTTTGGAAAATAGTCTGGCGTCTTCTTCTTATTGTATTTTATCGTAAAGCAATAACTTTGACTTTTGGTAATTCTCTAAAAATGTGGAGAGCAACAATTTACATGAGCTTGCTTAACAGATCTGCGTTACATAGCTGCGTCATCTAACAGAGCTCATGACGAATGTGTTGCCACTTTTTCTTATTTATTAGGAGCAACTCTATGTCTATTCTCCGTACATTCTCATTGTTTCTTCTTCTTATTGCTTTATTTTGGTGTAAAAGAAATAGGCAACTAATGGTTTTTAGCTTACTTTGAGATTGCTTGCAAAAGAAAAAAGAATTAACGAATTAATCAATTAATTGTAGAAATTGTCTTTGAATTTTAAAAAAAAGTTGATAATTTTACTTAAATATAAGTTACGCTAATATCTAAAAAAAAAGTAAATAATAAAAGAAGAGAAATCTAATCATCTTAAAGTGCGTTTGTGCAAGAAACTAAGAAAAGGGCACATTCTACCCATTCTATTCAATGTAATTTATGCGGAACTAATAAAGAATATTCCTTTAAATAATCAGAAAAGATAATTAAAAATAATACAAATGAAATTTTTATAGAAAAATTGTATATCCTGCGAATCTATGATAACACATGAATATAAGTGAAAATCATAACATCATTACCAACGATGAATAAGAAATCTATGTTGGCTTACAAAGAGGATCGCATATTAACAACACAACAGTTGAAAAAACTCTCCGAACACAAATATCAATGTAATAATGCAAGTCTATTGGATCCTTGGCTGCAGCCATGGTGGAATTGTTTGGTCTCGAAAACTCCTTTGTGGTTGGCACCGAATTTAATTACAATTGTCGGTCTAATAGTAAATGTTGTCACAACTTTAATATTAGTGGGGTGAGTTGGTTTATACTTTGTGTGTTTACAGGTAGTGTAATATTGTTTAACGCTTTGCAATTGCTGACCGTGAAAAAATTTTGTTATGGTAGAAAATTCATTGGTTTGATTGTTTTTGTTTTTGTTTCGTAAACATAACCGTGATTAATTTCAATGCAGAGAGTAATTAAATAAAAAGAGAGAAATTATTTCCTAGAATCTTGATATGTTTCATGTAAACATATAATTCGATATTGAACGCTCACCTTAAGTCCAACGTAGCTTTTTCTTTTATTTTATGTATTTTTTATATTATAACGATCGTAATTAAGTTGCACTTGATTCGCTTTGTAAGAATTCTAAAGCTAAAGGTGAACACGTATACATATGATTTATAGTATTCATCAACGTATTGTGTTCACATTCAATTAACACACATTTGAAATTTTGTCTATATGGCTCGAGTCACTATTTCAATTGACCTCCTGCATTGATTGGAATACTTAATACATTAAAAAAAAAAAAAAAAACGAAACACAAAAGTGCAGAAACTGCAAATAAATCAATGATACAATGTCTCAAACTAGCAAATAAGGGGAAAATTGTCATTCCATGTAGCTTAAAAGCTAATTTCTTTACAATCAGCATTGATGAGCTGGTAGTTTAACCCTTTACTCGCAATTATTTTTAAATCATCATATTATTATTCCATCCATTTGAAGGTTTATTAATAACACTTTCATAGCTACATTAGATTGAATTTTATTATAAATTTAGAAAACGTTATTTTATTTTTCTTAATTCAATTTAGGCATTTATGACTTATTTCTAAAGGGGTACATCACGTGTTGTGCTAGTCTTCTTTCCTATGAACAATTTCAATAAATTATCTAAATTGTCTTTTTGTATGCTTTGCACGTTTTTTCTGCGCTTGTGACAAACACAACAAGTGTAAAACGTTTACTATTAATACAACTATACGAATATATATATCAATCACGCGTACATAGATACTTGAAATTACCATAGAAGAAACGCTGCAATATAATTGTTTTAATAGAATATTACGTATGCAAAAAGTACTGAACCTTAGACCTTACACCTGAGGTAAAAACTATCAGATTTACTTAATTTACAATTCTTGGAATTATAGATACAGCCCAGGCGGAATAACTCCTCCACCGCGATGGACTTGCCTACTTTGTGCTTTTGGCCTGTTTGTTTACCAAAGTCTAGATTCAATAGACGGAAAGCAAGCAAGGCGAACAAATACGTCTTCGCCGTTGGGTGAGCTTTTCGATCACGGTTGCGATTCCATATCCACTGTGTTTATTGCTTTATCGGCCTGTATATCCTGTCAGTTGGGCCACTATCCTAATTGGTTATTCTTCCAGGTTACTGTTTTTTTTTTAATATTAAAAAGAAAAATATAGTTTCTGAAAATTTTTTTTTTCCGTTCTCAGTGTTTTTGTGCTATTGGTTTGTTTTATTGTGCCCATTGGCAAACTTATGTTTCGGGCACGTTACGCTTTGGAAAAATTGATGTAACTGAAGCTCAGTTAACGATCATCGGTATACATTTAATATCAACCGTGTTTGGTCCGGAATTCTGGTTAACGAAGGTAAGTCCAAATGTTTAGGCAAAAACATATCTTATTCCTCTTAATCAAATTCGTTAACAAATTTGCTTTGATTAATTCAGCAATAAATTACCAACATTTCCAGGAGATTTTTCAAATTTTATTATCTTTTAAATTTTTTTTTTTTCGGATTGGCTTAAACATATTATATAACTTAGTTTATAGTAACGTATTTAACTCATAAGAAATTATAGAAAAAGCCCAACACCGTAGACAGTGTGTTAATTTATTAAAAAAAAAAACAAATATATGATTTGTTAGAAAATGGCTTTTAAATCGCTTTATATAACGGGTATTAAAAATTAATATAAAAATAGAATACATTAAAGAAATTTATTACTAGAAAACGTCAACTAATGCGGTCAAGGAAATGTTCTCCTGTCCCCTTCATTTAAGGCAGCAATGGTAGCCCTTTCTTAGTTAGCAATATAAAGAATATTTAAATAATCATAAAGGCAAATTTTTAAATTACAAAAAAAAAAAATTAATTATTCACATATATTGTAATTTGTTTATAGGGATTATACGGCCTAGTCCAATTAGAGCGTACAAATTTTGAAGTGAAAATACTATTTCTTAACTTTCTAAACCTAAGTAAACGAACAAAAAGCGATAGCTTCTCTAAGACGATTCTAATTCATCCCAAAATATGGCAACTAGATGATTCCGTTCATAATAATACCTCCGCAGACCCTAGCAGTAAGTAAGTGTTTGGTATTTTTATAGTCATCATTGAAGAATTGCGCTTATGGTGGAAATCGCATAGTCCTAAAACTCATTTTTCGACATTTGTCTAAAATTCGGTACAAGCGCACATAAGGAGTCTAAAATAGTGAGCAAAGAAAACCTTCGTACTGCTCAATCAACATCTGAAGATATCATTGTTTTTACATTCGCTTAAGTATTGAATTGAAATGATTTTCCATTTTTCAATCTCTCTTTGCGGCTCTTTAAAATCAAAGGAAATATGAGTTAGAAGCGTTTGCGACAATGATTAAAGCATACCCTATAATCAAGTGCTGTTAAGCTTATCAGAGTTCATCTGTCCAAAAACAAGAAGAGCAATTAAATTACATTTTTATATCGATAGCACGGCATCCATCCAATCAAAGAGTTCTACTCATTTACACATGGAAATAGTGTATTAGCCGCTATCAAAAAAAAAAAAGCAGGACGGAGAGGTAGCATAAATAGTAATTAAAACGCAAACGATTAAATATGAAATTAAAATAAACATAAAAACTAACAGTTTGAATTTTTGTTGGACGAAACTGAGAAATACATTGACTATATTTTATATATGTTTGTTTTCCATTCTTATAATTTGATTGGTATGATTTTCAACATCCCTTTACAAATTTATGTACTCATCGGCAATGAAAAGATGATAGGAGATATGCTAACATCCCGAAATACGTATTGCAATATATTGTACAGTACAGTGCAGTCTTGCAAGCAACGTCAGTGCCTGTCTCTGTTCAGCCACAGCTGCTCATTTTTCCATTTTCTTCGAATTCAATTTACACATAATATTTGCGAACATATCTATCATGTTACAAGAGATTCGCCTAAAACATTATTTGTAAATTGACATCTGTGGCGACTATAAAGCTAAGTTAATAAGAGTCGTTTAAAAATTACTTGGAAAGATTATTTATTACATTCGGTTAACTAACACGCCTGTAAGTAGAGAAAGTTGTCTGTAAATGACTTATGTATTCCCAATGAGTTTCCCGAAAACGTTTCATTAGAAATTAATTTCTAGCTATACTCGTTTATATATCTACATAGGATGAATGAATGAATGGGGGTCCACAAAGAGAAGAGCAGGTTAATAAAATAAATTGCTCACATTCGATAATTTTATAAAAAACTGTAGAAATTCGTAGGGCTGCCTTAGCTGCATCCTTATTATCTCTATTTGAAAATTTAACTTACCTGCCCCCTCGTTCCCGATATGTTATAATCTTTATTGAAATATTTTTTGCATTTATCTATATTTTCATATGTATATTTATTAACTAATAATATGACATCAAAAACACTCCTCGCTCGTCTTTAGATTTTTGGTAATTTAGAATTATGGTCTTCCATATCGCTAATGACTATAATTTGCGGTATTTGGTCATTATCCTATATATCCTCAGTTATTTTGGCTGGTGGTGTCGGCAAGAATGGCAGTACAGTAGCAGTAAGTGCTTTTATCTTTTTTTTTTTTTTTATTGTTTGATTTATGTTTTGTTCAGTATGCCTCGTTGTGCGATACGCGATTCATAGCGAGCTCCCTTTTATATAAAAGTAATTTAAACCAAAAATAATACACTTGAGTTTTCAATCATTATTCTTATTGTATGCATTTCGGCTCTTTTGGCTTACATTAAAAAAAAAAAAAAAAAAAACAAAGAAAAAAGAAAAACAATAAAGCTTTGATAGCGACATAAAGTTTGTTAATGTTTTCCCATTTTTAATTAGGTATTTTTTGGTATATACATATATTTATCGCTGTGGTTCCCTCTCTGTCCCTTACCTTGTATTTCTCTTTTACTTTTAAATGGTGTTTATTGCTGGTTCTTCCCTTCCTTTTTTTTTTTTTTTACATATAAACAAAATGGTTTTAAAAAATATTTTCTTAATTTATTGTTTATTCTGTTATGTGTTTATGTAAAAATATTTTTATACTGTTTAATTTTAATCTAAGTTTTCATATACAATATTTACTCACTAATCATATTGACTTAAGCAATTAGGCGTTTAGGATTTTTTTTCTTTTTTTTTTGTTATAATAAAGTTGGAACTAAGTATACATCTCTGCAGCCGTAAATCGAGGGGCATAACAGTACAACTTTTTAAAATTTTTTTTATCCTGCAACCATATCGAGGTACAAGTTTGTGCGTATGTAGGCAAGAAGGATTTGAGTTAGACCCATCGATTCCTATCGATTTAGAATTGATCTAAACTTGTCTGTCGGTCTATCCGTCCTGCGTTCTTGTGTTAAGCTGCAATTCGCAAGTTTTGAAATATTTTGACAGAATTTGGTATATGGATATGCTTTTGGCCAAGGACGAACGCTGTTGCAAATGGTCAGGATTGGATAATTTTTTCCATCCCTTACTATATAAAGGTTTATCTTGAAAAGTCGTCCTATGAGTGGTGCAGGACATTGAAAGGTGTACTATAGTGTATTTTCTTCTTCTTTGCTAATCAAAAAGCACTTGGGGTCAGATAAAGAATAAGAACGATAAACATTCTATTCTCTGCGCTCAGTTGATACATTGACACATTTAATGTTAAACGGGAGGTAAAGTAATTATTTGTAGGGTCTTCCCGTGTGCTAATTGAAATTTTGTTGGATTTTTGAGGGCAATTTTATATATAGAAAAAAGCCAACCCTTCAATGATTTCCTAACTACAAGATCTCGAATGCTTTATGCCAGACAAATACTTTCGTTTACTCGCCAGCGTATAAATAAAAATAAACCTTAGAGGTCCTCTAAATTAAACAACAGCTTGAGGCATCAAACTGATTCAGCCATATCGGGTTTCGAATGCAGAAAAAATGTAGGTTGAAAGAAGAATTAGACAAATACTTGGGACATGTATTAGCGATTAAAGACAAATTTATGGTAGGGGCCTTCTTAGATGTGTTTTTCTAGATGCACCGAAGGTTCGTATAAAATACACTACAGATGCGATCGGACCACGCCAACTGTTTATTATTCCAGTTCTTAATGTCATTTTGGTTGGAATAAGATCAAAGATGCATAGATTCCTTACATTCCCAATTATACTGTTATGCTCTTCAGATGCGAATACGTTTCAAACATTTCATTATTTATTAAATGATACATTCCAGTGGTATAAAAGCAAAAAAATGATTTGAAAAAAATGTGTAAAAGAAATATGGATTTCTTGGTGTGTGTTCTCCTTTCATTTCTTGTCTTTTTTCATTATTCTGTTTTGTTCTCATTCTTTAGCTGCCGATAATGGAATTAAATAAGAATTATGTAATTCTAATTGGAATAACAATTTGTTATGGCATAAATTTTGTAAATTTTTGCAAAATGTTTTTGGAGGGCGGCAGTGGCAAGAATGGCTCCTCTGTGGCTGTAAGCATTTCATAATTTTATTAAAAATATTACTATTACTATTATTATAATTTTTTTTTTTTTTTTTGTTTGACTATTTGCCAAAAATCTTGAAACAAAAAAAAAAAAACAAATCACTTACGTGCGCTATTCTAAACATTACAACATTTAAAAAGAAAAACGCTTGCGTTTCTTTCTTTCTTTTCAATTAACATTCATTTGCGTACATTTTAATTTTGTAACTTTTCAGTAATATTTTTTTGTTTTTTTTTGGTTCTTTGAAAAAGCTACAAATTAAATTTATGAATGTAAAAAATTTAACTTATAGCTAACAAGTATCAAATCAATAATTTCTTTTATTGCTGGTATTAAGGATTCTATTTTGGTGTTTTAAAATTATATTAATTAAAAAAAAAAAAAAACGAAAGAAAATTTGGTAAGAATTAAATTTTATCATTTTTTTTTTTTTTTTTTTTTTTTGGCCTAATTGAAGCTACTTTAACTTTTTCCGTATGTAATTGGCTCGATTTATTTTATTTCTTGCTATTCAAACAATTTATGTTTTTTTAACAATTTTTTTTATTTCTTAATTGTGAATATATACAGTCATATTGAGATATTTGATTTTCTATGAAATCTTCCTTTGGTATTCATCACTAGAGGATGATGGTAAACTCTGTTGACTATTCAGATGACCGTGGTCAACTGGTAGTCCATTGACTCTTGTTAATTGCGAGTGAAAGGCTCGTTTAGGGTTAATATCAACATTTTCGTCATTTATATATATATATATATAGGTATGGTCACATGAATTGAATTGAGTTGAAAAACAAAAAAAAAAAAAAATTTGAATACACTCCTCAAGAAATAAAGCTATATCTATCGATTTAAAATATTGTTGACATTATTATCTCCATTCAAAGTTTAGAGGTAAACTCATATTATTCGGAATACTGCCAATGAGATTTAATTATTATTAACATTGATTGCTGATCTGCTTAAAAAATGTTAAAATTATTTAAACAATACAAACAGAAAGCATCTCAATTTTAAAAGACGACTTTTAAATACCCTATACCTCAATGTCTGACACAGTTCTTATTCTTGCCAAAAAAAAAAAAAACAAAAAAAAAATTATACCTTGTTTTTATCTGAACTTTCTAATACTAAAAATTAGATCTCTCTCCATAAGAACGGTTGTGGCAAAGAATTTCAAAAATTGCGGTACATGTTCAAAATTCAGCATAGTCTATTTTTGCATCAAACTGTTATTATGGATCAATTTTCATCATAAAATATTAAATTAATGGACTTTTTTCCTCTAAGGGATAAAAATATTCAAAGTCCAAATCTTTCATATAGGATAGCATCCAGAAATAGGCGTGAATGGCCCAAATTTAGTACAGTGCATTTTTCTATCTTAAGTTTCATCATAACCTATTAAAATTTAGACTTTTCTGCCCCATAAAGGATCTATTTTTGTGAAATCTATATATAGAGTAGAATCCAAAAATAGGTCATGATGACCCAAAATTTGCTACGGTTAATGTTTTATCTTAAATTAGTGTTATGATCTGATCTTTGCCATGAAGCATTGAAAATCAGACCTTTTTGTCATATGGATTTCAGTTTTCGCTATATGAGATGTTATATGGGAAATGATCGAAAAATTGGATCGATCGAAACCGTTTTCAGTAGCTTTCAGCCTTGAGTCCAAACACGTCATTCTATCAAATTTCATCGAAATATCACAAAAATTGCTACTTGCTTAGCTTCAACACAACTTAACGTGGACAGATATTAGATAGGCAGATAGATTTAGATAGTTCAGTTTATCACTTAAGTAAGTGATAAAAGGTGGGTGTATCCAAAAGAGTTTCTCCTTGTTAAGTGCGTCCGTACAAATTTAATATACCTTGTGTCACAAGTGGTGCAGGGTATAAAAAATATCAAAGCAAAATATACGGTTATGGGCGGGAAATTCATTTGCAACAGACTAATGGATTTCATTGGAATAAATGTTTCATGGATGCTTTTACAACAATTAAAGAAATAATTTCTCAAAGCATCTCCTTGGCTGTACTCCTACTACCCGCGTCCCAATTTTCTTTCAAAAATAAAAAAACTAGAAACTTTATTGAAATATTAATCGGTATGTAGCGAGAAGGTATCAAAGATTTCCTTAATTATTATTTTGACCAAAAAAAAAGTGAGGTTAAAAATCTATCAAAAAATTTAATTAAAATTAATCAATCAAAAAGTTCTTAGACATAGAGAGCGTCGTTGAGAAAAGTGCCTTTAAAAACTCGAAGTAATGAAAATGCCTTTGGGCTACATAAGCAATTTGATTAGTCATAAAATCTTTCGGATGTCACTTTTTCATACTTAATAAAAGTATGGCGAGAGTTAAGGCGAGAAATAGCGCAATCTCCCCTAAGATAGGCAGTTCGATTACGACTGTAAGAAGAGTGTCAATATTTTTGCTAAACTCGTGATCAATATTGGCTAAAATGTTATTATTATAGTGAGGATCGTGCAAGTCTGAGTACACAACGATTGCTGTGCTGCCACCCTTGCGACAAATATTGTCACACAATATACTCGACATCCTAGAAGGTGTGAAGCGTATCAACCTTTGCATGAATGCATCTTGTTTTTGTTGTTCGTTTTTTTGTTTGTTTTAGATTGGAAACTTTCGGTGAAATAAAACTTGTGTTATTTAGTTAAAATTAATTTTAACAAAAAAATATTATTTAATTAATATTAATTTTGACTGTATTAATTTGAAATCGTATCTATTTATTTTCTAAATTTTTTAACACATGATGGACTTGTAATTAATTTGTAAATTGTCATTGTCAGTGTTTTACGCTTAACTATCAAAAGTAGCGCTTATTGCTTAAAATTTTGCAAATGAAAATATTTCGTTTGTTGTTTAAAGTGATCACGCCCATTTTCAATGGGCTATGTTATACAATCAGTACACTTCAATTTTGTCTTATAATAATATTTATTTAAGATTGCGGACCAGTCCGAAAAGCGTATTGACGGATACGATACAGATATGACTACATCAATATAGAATCTCTAAATTTTTAGCAAAACAAAAACGTTACATTACATTATATCCAGTAATATAGATAGTTATTACCTTCCACAGCTTAGTGTTATGTTAGCGCAAAAATAAATTGAAAAAGATTTCACTGAGTTGATGGTACCACTTTTTGTATTGTGTACACTTTATGGAGATGCGGGATAGTAGATAATACTGCTGTACCCTCCGTCCTTCAATGATGAACATGATGAAAATGAGCTCCATATCTTGACAAATAAAGAAAAACCTATCGGCAGCTATTGAAGATATATTTAACAATTTTTAAATAATATAAGGTTTTATGATTAACTCATGCAGCTATATTAAGATTTATATAGATGAATCATTAATTTTTGAAAATTCAAAAAATTAGAAAATCATAAAAAGACAAATAAATTTCTTTAGAATTTTAGACAAATTAAAAAAAATATACATATATATTTGATCATTAAAGGTATTTATTACTTTTTTACTTTTTAATTTTTTTTTTTTTTTTTTTTTTTTTTTTTGTAATGTAAAAATCCGAGAAGATTTTGCTTTATTTATTAACAAGAAATTATTTCATAAAAGAAAGTACAGTTAGTTTTATTGAATACATAATTTTAAAAATCGTATAAAAGTTAATTCTATAATATTTTTTTTTTAAATGTAATAAATTTTTTACATCTTCTGTAAATTGGTTATTTTTTTTTTCTTATATTTTTCATACAAATTCATTTTCTATTTTTTTTTTTTTTTTGTTCTCAATTTGAAA